AAGAAGGCCACACTGTAGGAGCTAAGGAGCCACCACTTCAGGCAAGCTGTCCTCATAGCAGAGCGTCAAAGCTCAAGAGATGCTGGCGGAAACACGTGCTGCCCCTCACAGCTTCTGCTCAGCCTGGCCTACACTGCCGTCTACACACACCTTTGTTGGTTAAAGCAAGTCCCATGGCCAAGCTCAAAGTCAATGAAGCAGAGAATCACATTCCACCTACAGGGAAGCCATTCTGAAAGGGGAGGTAAATAATTGTGAATAAATAATCCAGCCTTGCTCAGCATGGTAACAATTAACCACTACCGGTTCTTCAGTTGGTTATATTCAGACGAATGCACTAGTTGGACTGTACCCATTGTTTATGCTAAAGAACCCCTGTGTCAGCTGGTAATCAGCCACTGCTCCAAGCCCCTCGAGGACTCCCTCCCCCATGACCCCTATCCCTGCAGAAGCCCTAGGCTTCTCAGCGGAATAATCATCTGCGTGTTTTATGGGAGGCAGTCTAGTATAGTGCAGAACTAAGAGTACAGGCTCTACCTCGGTTCATATCCTGGCTCCTTGTGTGACACTGAGCACATTATTTAAACCCTCTATCTCTTCCTATTTCTCTTCTGTAAAGGGGAGATAATGGTGTGTACATCACAGGGCTGTGAGAATTAAATTAGTTAACATATGTAAAATGCTGAGCACAGTGTCCAGCTCATGATACGCTCCATACCATATTTACTATTCATAATAAAAGTATGAGCAACAAATGCGTGCTTATTAGACTGATGCATGCACACAAAGCAGTAGTACACATATGGCAAGGATATGAACAGAACCTACACCAAGCCAATAGAATGGTTGCCTGTGCAGGGAACGGTGATCAAGGGAATAAATGCATTACAACACTGACCACTGAGTTCCATTCCCAGAGATTCTGATTCTGTTTTGGTCAGGAATAGGTGTTTTCTGGCATGTGGACTGGAAATCTCTATTCTTCCAAAAGCAGCCCAGGACGCTTAGATGCACACATGTGTTTGGGACACGCCGGGTAGTAAAAGGAGCTGGTTCTTCCTGGATCCAACACACTTTGGTCCACATTCCAAACATCGGTTAAAAAAGGGAGACTACTACTCTATTAGTTGGAAATTTTCAATTTACAACCCTGAGAATCAAAACTCAAACTCACTTGGACAACAAAAACAATAAAGGAAATGTGTTGGTGCCCAGAAGCAAACGCAGAAAGTGGCTGTGGTGCCGGCCCACGCGCATTTGGCTTCAGGCTCTGGCTTTCCAGGAGAGTATGTGTCCGATTGCCTTTTCCTCTCCACATCCTCTCTGCCTCCACCGTGACCCACCCCTACTCATTCCCGTTTGGTTTTGTCCTCTCCTACAAAGGACAGGCTACGTCGATGTGGCAGAGATCATGAGCATAAAGGCTCAAGATTCTGTCTTCCAGATCTGTAACCTAGTATGCAAGATGGGCTTATCCCTGACCTCTTCAGTGGAAATATTCAGGGAAGGGCCCTCATTGGCTGGGCTTTGCTCCTCACGGCCGGGACCAGGGATGCCTTGGAACCAGATGCCTGTGGTAGGAGTGCACTTAGAGATGGAGGATGGGAAAAATGGTGAGCAGTCCAAGATTATAACTGCCACAACTTCCTCATTCAGATGTAAAAACAAGTGTGGCACTCACCTGCAGATCACAGGCACGCAAATATTGGTCCCCTTCCTTTTCCTCTCTTCCTGATTTGAATGCAGGAAAGGCTTTTTAACCACCCTGATCTCCAATACAATTCTTATTTCCTCCTCCTGGATCTGTGGAACAAAGACACACAGCTGCTGCTGCATGGATCTCCTAGACTTGCTCATTCCCTCATGCAGCTGAGGAACAGAACAAGTCCCTGAATTTCATGATCTGAAGATTTAATTTCCTGGCTTAATTTAGCTATACTTACTAAACCATTTTTTAGAACTATAAATATAGTAGTAGAATCAAATCCTTGGGAATCTTTTACTCATTAGTTTTAAGAAATCCTTCAGAGCTAATGTTTTATTGTGTTACATCCCGTTGATTTAAGAGAAAGAAACTTTAAGTCCTAGGTATAATTCAGTTTATCCTAGGAAAGCTATTGGCTTCTTAGAATCTTATATTTCTCATTTATTGAAAAAAAAAAGGATGCTAATAGCATCTGTACTGCCCACCTTATAGGGTTGTTGTGAGGACAAGTATTAGGTTAGGCATGTAAAATCACTTTGTAAAATGAAAGGACATAAAATGAGAATTAAAAGAAGACTTTTCTCATTTTAAATAAGCTCTTTAAACTAAAAATAGAACTACAATTTGACCCAGCAATCCTGTAACTAGATATACACCCAAAGGAAAAGAAATTGTTCTACCAAAAAGACACACTCACGTGTTCACGGCAGTCATGTTCACAACAGCAAAGACACACAATCAACCTCCATCAATGACGGACTGGATTTTTTAAATGTAGTACATATACACCACGGAACACTATGCAGCCATCAGAAGAATGAAATCATGTTTTTTGCACAAACATGGACGCAGCTGCAAGCCATTATTCTAAGCAGATTAATGCAGAAACAGAAAACCAAAAATCATATGTTCTCCCTTGGGTAGGAGCTAAATCTTAGATGCTCACGGGCCTAAAGAGGGGAAGAAGAGACACTGGGAACTCCAAAAGGAGGGAGGGAGGGAGAGGGCAGGCGGCAACACTCCCTACTGAGTCCTGTGTTCACCGTTTGCACAGCATGATCATGCAGTATACCCTTATAACAAACCTGCAGTAACTCTAAAAGAAAAACTGAAATCAAATAAAATAAAAATAAACACGCTCTTTGAAAAGCAAAGAGGAAAAGTTTCCAAGTTGGTTTATGTTCTTATACACTGTGTTATTACTTCAAATGTGTCTTTGAATGAAATGTCCGTGTGGCATGATTTAAGCTTTCTGTCTGACAGAACCAGAATCTTTGGAGCCCGTGAAAATTCCAACCCAGTCCTTGCTGCAGGACGTCACAGGACAAGCGAAAAAAGGACGAGTGAAGCTGCCTCGTTACTTGCTGAGTTCCAAGCCGAAGTCTCGACCTCTCGCAAAGGTAAAGTGGACACGGAACAAACTCCCCAGAGCCAATCAGCATGTGATATAATTCTTTATTTTTTATTTCTTTTCAATCCTGCTCCTTCTGTAGATTTTATATAATTCGGACTCATTGAAGTTACTAGTTTCCAGCCACTGCGTACTGCAATTGACCATCTCCACAACTCACCAATGAAGGTCTTTAAACTTCCGTCTCACACATGGAAACGGAGGTGGTGCTTTGCTGGAGCTGATTCATACGGGCTCCTGACAGAAATTTTATGAGCCACTTATCAAACCACAGATAGCTTGAAATCAGCCATGCTGGGATACTTGCACCACAAAATTAGTAAACACTAGAAATCAGAACTGTTTTCAGAGAGCCAGTTTACCAGCGCACTACAACAGGCTGAGGGGATCTTGACCACCATCGCCATGACTCTTAGGATAAAATCCAAATGACAGTATGAGGACAAGCCACAGCCCCATTTGCTTCTTCACCCTCACCCCGAGTCAAACTCACAATAATTCAGCTGTTGTGGATTTCTCTTCATTCTTTAAAAATACCAAGCCCCTTTCTTCCTTGGAGCCTCTAAAATTAAGATTCCACCCAGTTTTATTGGGAAACCTTCTGAAGCCCATCAGTTTTGATAATTATCTTTCTTTTTTCTTTCATAGCACACGGTGTTCATCTCCATCACAGAATTTATTGTAACATAGACGTAGCTGACATAATCACAGTACATCTCAAACGTTAATGTGCATATGAATTACCTTGGAAACTTGTTAAAATACAGATTCTGACCCACTAAGTCTGGTGTAGGGCATGAGATTCTGCAGTTTTTTTTTTTTTTTTTTTTTTTGAGACGGAGTTTCACTGGTTACCCAGGCTGGAGTGCAATGGAGCGATCTCGGCTCACCGCAACCTCCACCTCCTGGGTTCAGGCAATTCTCCTGCCTCAGCCTCCAGAGTAGCTGGGATTACAGGCACGCACCACCATGCCCAGCTAATTTTTTGTATTTTTAGTAGAGACGGGGTTTCACCATGTTGACCAGGATGGTCTCGATCTGTTGACCTTGTGATCCACCCGCCTCAGCCTCCCAAAGTGCTGGAATTACAGGCGTGAGCCACCGTACCCGGCCGAGATTCTGCAGTTCTAACAAACATAGGAACAAATTCCCCACAGCCAATCAGCGCTGGTGTCAGCACTGCTGATCTGAGGAATAATAAGGGCAGGAGCAGTGGTTCCCAAAGTGTAGATGCCTGACCAGCAAAATTGCCAACCCTGAGAACTCGTTATAAATGCAGATTCTTGGGCCCTACCCCCAACCAACAGAATGAAAAACTCCAGGGGTAAAGTCAGAAATCTGGGTCTTAATGACTTCTCCAGGAGATTCTGATGGATGCTAATGTTTAATGACCACTGGCACAGATGAAAGGGCACAGACTCTAGAATCAGGCAGACTTGAGTCTGAATCTTTGCTCTGCCGCTTAGCACTTGAACAATTACCTGTGTTTCAGTTCTCTAAACTTGACTTCCTTATCCTTAACACAAAGCCTAAAATCCTTCCTCACAGGGCTGTTGTAAGGATTACATGAGATGTAATCGTTGATTTTACATCTCATGTAATCCTTACAACCAAAGTTATTTTGGTTGTAAGGTGACAGGGACTTTTTTTTAATCTTGGGAACTCCAACTAGAACAATTTTATTAATTTTTCCTTAATGCAAAGGTGCAAGATTCTGTCGCAGGAAAAGTGAACACATCCTCTTTTGCATCTGCTGCCATTAACAATGCAAAGTCACCCCCTTTTGGGTTCCATCTTCTCCCGTCATCCGTGAAGTTTGGAGTGCTTAAGGAAGGACATACCTATACCACAGTCGTAAAGCTCAAGAATGTTGGAGTGGACTTCTGCAGGTGAGGCCAAGGGACCAAAGGTCTGCTCAGGTTTCCTTCCCCTACACTGACACTTGTCTTGGGTCAGCTACATCAGTAAATGTTGATTGAACTGAACTGGAATCTCCCTGCATCTTCACTTTATTCATTCAGTCATTTGCACACTGATACATTCAAGCATTCATTCATTAACAAATCAGTGAGTTCCCAATTATCCGGTAGCTATTTCCTTGCCCTCCCATTCGTCATTATCCATACTTCAGTGAAAGCAACTCACATTCCCAGCTCCACTAGCTAAAAAAAGGGAGGTTGTACGAGTGTTACAACAACGAATGCCCATTATTGGAAAGTCTTTTTCTCAAATCCACTAACTATAATAATACCAGCTGATGTTGGTTTGCACTTTATGATCTGAAAAGCACTTTCGGTTACATTGTTTCTGCACAATGGAGGCAAGGACTTTAGAGACTACTATAAAGGAGAAACTGTGTAACTTGCTTTAACTTCCTGTAGGCTGCCAGAGGGCAACTTCAGATCTCTTCAGTCCCACATACTTCGCTTTACTAATGGTTTGTTTTTTGTGAAATTTCAGACCCTTCCATTGGATCAATAAACCATATACCTCGATCAAACTATCCCCAATTACAGAATGTCCACTATTCTATTTTGAATTAAATATAAGCATGTGTATTACTTGTGGAATGTCTGTTCCATGTGGAATGTATGTTTATTTCAATTGCAATCATTTTCAGAGCTGAGTGGTAAGTCCTTCAAGAATGTTTATGATTCTGGATTCAGGATGGGAAATCAGAAGAAAATGATGGAAGTATCCAGTTTGGAAGATCCCTGTCCCGTTTCAGTTCTTTCAGCTGAGGCAAATCCCCAGCTTCAGGATTGACCTTTGCTTCCTGAGTAACAGTGTGACGAACTCAGGCCGCCAAATCACACTTTAATTGTTTTCTAGGTTGTTGCCAACAAAGTGGGTGGGGAGAAATGGAGTCAGCCTCAAACTAATAAAACTCATTCGTGCGGGTCCTGTCGCTCCAGTATACAATTTTAGTTCCGGAGATTTCGCTCCTCCGCTTGTTAAATTCAGCCGCTGTAGAGCAGACAGCAAGGTTGATGGTAGAAGAAGCAGGGTGGGGTAAGAGTGAAGGGAGGCTTTCCTTGGCATTTTAATTCACTCCAGGTCTCTAACCTTCAAGCAGAACCCACAAACCACAGGAAGGGAGAGAGATCAATAAGCACCACGTGTGAGCTCGGGGCTTTTCAAGTTCTTCTACATTTTCTGAGCCTTTCTGTTTCTCCTCTCCTCAAACATGCAAACCCCATACCAAGACAGAGCAAGGCTGGCTCTCATGCTCCACTGCCTTCCAAAAGAGCCTTTATTCTTCAGCTTAATGACCCGGCTGCCAGCATTTGCGTTCATGCTGGCGGCTACGCTGAAATGCACACACCAGCCAAACAGTCCCACTGCCCAAGCTCGGGCTGCTCGTCAGCAGCTAATAACGAAGGGTTGGAACCCAGGTTGGAGCCCGTTTTACGCTGATGAAAACTGATGGAAAGGCAACTGTGAAATGGGCCCCAGCTTCTTCTCCCAGTTGAATATTAAGGTTGTTTTTCTAATGGTACGGACCCCCGGCTCCTGGGTAGCAAATATGAACACCTTTCGTATTTTACAACACCCCAGCTTATTCATTGCTCATGTTTTTCATTATGGCATAGATTTATTTTCATCTTTCTGCCTCGTAGGTTTAAAGTGAAGCAGCCCCCACCCAGCACAGGACTGAAAGTGACTTACAAACCTGGACCTGTAAGTCCTGCATGTCATCTGTTGTGTGTGCTTGCGTGCATGCAGGCGAATGTGGATATGTTTCCAGCAAAGTGGGCTTTGAGATCATCCTGCCCATTCAGTTTAAACTATGTATAAGTCTAATTTTTCTAATATCGTAAGCAAAAGATTTCTGGTAGTGATAAAATATGTGGCTTGATGGCATTCATTCCATGTAGTAACCATGAGACGGATTGTACGCAAACACAGTTAAACTTCCAGCTATAAAAACAATTCTGAAGCTCACCTCACTTGTCACAATATTATAGTTATGTACCATTGTATAAAAACTACCTTTTAAAAAAGTAAATCCTTATGCAAAGTGAAAAATATTTTGGAAAAATAATTATTTCATTCTTTCTATCTTATGTAAATCTGGTTTGCTCTCTAGGTATTTCCAGAGAATATGATTTAATACACCACACTAAGAAATCATACTTACCAAACTCATCAGCTGCCTCATTTCTCCAAAGAGCTCTGAAAATACAAAACCAAAAATGTCAAGCTGTTCTGACTCTATTCGATACATCCTCCAAAATGGCGCGTTTAGTAAAAAAATAAATACATATTCCACTTTAAATTATAATTTCAGAAATATAGGATGATGCAAACATAAGTTCATCTTACAATATAATAAAGTCACATTTGTAAGTCTTGATCATGCGTCGTCTGGCGGCTTGAATACCCCTTTCACTTCACACTTCACTCAGCAAACTCTGAGTTCCTCCCATATGCCATTTCAAGTGCCAGGGCACAGAGGACGTTAAAAGTGAGTAAGACACGTAAGAAGCTTACAGAGCCAGGTACACAGCGGGTACTCAAGCGATGTGCGTCTGAGTGACAGAATGAAGAGAGTAAGACGTTCGTCACACATGGGAAAAATGCATGGGCCTCTGAGAACAGTGAGCAAAGGTATCAGTCCTGGTAACAAGCAGCCAGTGCTCCCTGAGTTTGAGACTCTTAAAGCAGCCCCAGTTACAGGCTCATACTGAAGGGTCAGTTTGGTATAGTGGCTTCTTGTCATGACTACGCCATCAAGCAGTACAGTTAATGTTCTGAGCCTTGTTTTCCTCATCTGTAAAGAGGGAGTTCAGACCACATTATTTCTTGGCCCCCTTCGAGCTATAATATGCTCTATAGAAAACGTATATTATACAGGCTGCAACTCCAAACAGAGACATTTTGAGATGATATCCACTAATTCATGAGTACGGTTCTGAAGTCATTCCTCACTGTACTGTGTCAAGATTCCAGAACCTTCACAACATAAGGCAAAGACAGAAATCAAACAAGCATTTCTTCCACTGTCCTGGGAGGTTAACACATCACATTTTAATTTAAAGTAGGGATTATGCCAAAAGCCAAAATGAGTGTTGGGTCAACCTTTATGGGTAGTAAAAACACAGCATGTAGTCTTTGAAGCTCACTCTATACTATAAGGTTTTTTAATTTATTTATTTTTAAGTTTTTGATAGTAGGTTTTGGCTCTGGCAAAAAAATATAAACTGTAGACTTCCCCATACGTAAATCTAACCACTGTTCAGCTTGGTTAGTTGCCAACACTAAATGAATCTGCTCAGAGGCTGGGCAGACCTGTATGAAGGCAGTATCCCGGCTCTCCTGCTGAATCTCATCATCACCCAGCCCTGCTCTGACCGCTGGTCTTGGAGGAGAAGGGTCTGCTGTTGGATACCCTCCAGGATGCATACCTTGAGGAGTACATTGTCGAAAAAACTGAAACATTTTTCAATTCTATTTTTAAAACTATATTGAAGAAAACATTCCATTTGTATCTAATTGCTTTTCATGTGGCAGTTTCAGATTTATTTTTTTCCGGATAACTGTTCCCAAGTCTGCTTTTTAACCCACCTCCTGGAGACGCGACTTAGAAACATCAACAGCTCTCCCTTTGCTGGCTGGTGTTCTCACCCACGCCTTGCCGTGTTCCTTCTTTGTTCTGTATCAGCTTCCTTTGCTGGTACAATCCTGTTGCACGGGCTTTCAGAACGGAGCACTTTGCATTTAAACTAATTTTGTCTCCCTCTAGTGGCTTCATGACTTTATGCATCCTGCGTTAGGAACACCCTAAAGTCGTGCTGGTCCAGCCCACCGCCCAGGACGGCTTTGGCCTAACACAAATTCCTAAACTTTCTTAAAACATGAGGTTTTTTTTTTGCGATTTTTTTAAAGCTCCACAGCTGTCTTTATTGTTAATATATTTTGTGTGTGGCCCAAAACAATTCTTCTTATTCTAATATGGCCCAGGGAAGCCAAAAGATGGGACACCCCTGCAAAGGTGTAGGAAAGTTATAGAATTCACCAAGCCTGTTAAATTAATTTTTTTTTTTCTTGAGAAAGAGTCTTGCCCTGTCACCAGCCTGGAGTGCAGTGATGCAATCTCAGCTCACTGAAACCTCCGCCTCCCGGGTTCAAGCAATTCCCCCACATCAGTCTCCTGATTTATATTTATATTAGATTAAATTTATCTTTATTTGCAATAGTCCCTATTGCAGATATTTCACTTCTGAAAGTCACTACCGACATTCAAAAACAATTAGGAGTATTGCAAAATTTTGCCTTCAGTTCCATTTCCAATAACCTGGCATTTAGCTTCCTTATGCTTTTTCCTAAATAGCACCTGGTTTGCCCCTTCAACAATTTACCCTGAATCCCCTTTATTCAATGGAATTCTACCTTCATTATGAAGTAATTCTGCTGAATGCTTACAATAACTACCATTTATTAGTACCAAATTTATAGATGAAGAAACCAAAGGTAAGCAAGTTTAAGTAACTTGCCCAAATTAGTGTTAAAAGCAAGGTTTGAACTCAGAGGTGTTGGGTCCTAAAGCTACTTTGTGTCTTGTAGGTGGCAGCTGGTTTGCAGACAGAACTGAATATAGAGTTATTTGCCATGGTTGTTGGAGAGGATGGGACCAAGGGATCAGCACACGTCTCTCACAATATCCAGATTATGACTGAGCATGAGATTCTGTTCCTACCTGTGGAAGCAAATATCCTTTAAAGTTCAACTTGAGTAATCATATATAGCGCAGAAATTACACGGGTGAGGAAAACGTGGAAGTCAAACTGCATCTCTGTTATTTCTATGTTCAAAATCATAAAGTTAAATTCATTTCTGTAAGTAAGCAGCTACGTTGCGAGTAAAACAGAAAGAAAGAAAAAAATTAAGGCAAAGATTATCTTCATCTTTGAAAGCACCTAGCCAAGTCTAAAAAATACCTGATGTATAGTATATGTTCAGTAACTTCAGGTTGACCAATATAAATGTTATTGGCTCTCTATGGAATATCAGACAGATAGTAAAAGAGCAAGTCTCTATCACAAAAATAGTATAATTTTTTGGAAAGATAGGAGATACTTTCTTATTATCTTTAAAATAAGAAGTTGGGTATTCACTGAATTTTGCATACATTCCTCCATATCAGTGCTCCAGCCACACGGATATTAGATAGATACCAAGTACCTATTGCCTCCAAGGTACTGCATGAAATAGTTTATCATCTATAAAAATGGATAACTGGGCTCTGTCTGAAAAGATGTTATATAGTCTAGTAGCAGAAATAAAGTATTCACATCTCATTCCTATTTTGTACTTCTCCAGTGGCATGAACTGTGTACTGCTTGTGTTATAGTTCTGTCTTTATTGGATATTTGAGTTGGATGTGATAACTTGATTGAAGGGAACTTTAAGTACAAAGAATGAACAAAACCATGGCAACAGGAAAGCCCCAGGTGTTTGGAATGATTGGCAGGGAGTTCAACGTGCCAAGAGCTTGAGTATTAGGAATGTAGTGGGAAAGTAGGTTGGTGTCAAGTTGTGAAAGATCTTAAATCCTTGGCTCCTATTTTATTATTTAAGCAGCAGTGAACCACTGCAGATTCCTGACCCTATGGGTGATAGGATCAGCATCACTTTATTAAGATGAATCTAGTGTTATTGTGCAGGACATGTCGAAGGGGAGCAACTGGATGTGTAAAAGAACCATTGAAAGTCTTCCTAAATGGACCATGCATAAGAACAAGAGCCACGGTGGGGTGGGGGGAGGGCAACAGTCAACATAAAAGAGGGACATGGGCCAGGCGCGGTGGCTCAAGCCTGTAATCCCAGCACTTTGGGAGGCCGAGGTGGGTGGATCACGAGGTCAACAGATCGAGACCATCTTGGTCAACATGGTGAAACCCCGTCTCTACTCAAAATACAAAAAATTAGCTGGGCATGGTGGTGCGTGCCTGTAATCCCAGCTGCTCAGGAGGCTGAGGCAGGAGAATTGCCTGAACCCAGGAGGCGGAGGTTGCAGTGAGCCGAGATCGCGCCATTGCACTCCAGCCTGGGTAACAAGAGCAAAACTCCGTCTCAAAAAAAAAAAAAAAAAGAGGGACATGAACGAAAGACATGGTGGGGGAAGGAAACTGCAAAGTCTGAGGTGGAAGCCATTGATGGATGCAAGAAAGAGGACAAAGAGTTCAACCACAGAGTTTTGGGCTGAGGTAATGAATCATGGCTGTGAAATAGTAGATCTCAACTGAGAAGCCAGAACTGAAGATGTAATAATTTTATTTTTTGTTTTTTGTTTTTTGTTTTTTTTTTGAGATGAAGTTTCTCTCTTGTTACCCAGGCTGGAGTGCAATGGTGCAATCTCGGCTCACCGCAACCTCCACCTCCTGGGTTGAGGCAATTCTCCTGCCTCAGCCTCCTGAGTAGCTGGAATTACAGGCACGCACCACCATGCCCAGCTAATTTTTGTATTTTTAGTAGAGACAGGATTTCACCATGTTGACCGGGATGGTCTCGATCTCTTGACCTCGTGATCCACCCGCCTCAGCCTCCCAAAGGGCTGGGATTACAGGCGTGAGCCACCTCGCCCAGCCAATAATTTTAAACGTCATTTACACAGAGGTGATGACTGAAGGTAAGGGCAAGGAGCAGAAATTTTGAGTCTGTTTAGGGAGCAGGAGGAAGAGGGGCCAGTGGAGGCAAAAACAGCAATTAGAAGAACATGAAATACTTGAGAAGACTTAGGAAGAATTTCAAGGAAAAGATAGACACAATTAACAGATGCTATTGAGATGACAAAGAAAATTCAGATTTGAAGTGTTAAATTTGGTTGGGACAAAAACTAAATTGGAAAAAGTAAAGAATGACTGTATTAAGAAAGCAGAAACATTAGTTACGGCTATTCTTTCAAGAAAATTTAGAAAATAGCAAGAGAATATGGTACCTCAAGCATGCAAGAGAATATAAGAAGGATTTTCAGTTTAGCGCATACTATGTATGATTGTAGGCTGACGAGTGTGGAACAGTAGATGTACAAAACATATGAATGAATAGAAGTAACTGAAACTGCAATATCCAAAATAACAAAAAACAGAGCTGAAGGGCTAGTCTTGGCAAGAAAGAAGCTAAGATAGCTGAGGATTCAGACATTCTGAGGTGAAGGAGAAAGTTAAAAGAACGTGTGTCAGATGACACTGATGTCAGTAAATTGAGTTCATTGGTTCATCTGTGTTTTCAAAGATGCAGAAAGCCCCGCCTTCATGTAGCTTACATTCAGTGGGAGGACACACAATACACAGAGTAAGTAAACCATAAACAATGGCAGTAAGTACAGTGGAGGGAAGGAAAGTCCTCACTGGGAAAGTCTCTCCCTCCCTCTCACCTTCCTTCCCTCCCTCCTTCCTTTCCTGTTTTTGAGTAATGATGACAGGGGTTCTCCATTGTGACAGAAGGAAACTAGCCAAAGAACTAGTTTTTTCCTCTGGGAATTAAATCAAGTGCCCTTGCCCTCCCCACACAGGTTATTAGATGTGGTTACCTGAATCACTGCTGCTGATCATGGGAATGAAATCGTTTGAATTTATAATAAATTTTCTATTTCCCTGCTTAAAGATTAGAGAGAACCTGTCAAACACAGATAGATAAAGGGCAAAAAGAACCTTACCAGAGCTTTGATCTACTTACTTCCAATGTCGACAATGATAGTTCATAGCCCATTTCCCAAGATCTGTCCCTCTCCCCACCAAAAAAAAACATAAAATCTGTCGTAGATATGGTTCGGGGATTGACCATGCTAATGGCTCCTTATAGAAAGCCAGTGACAATTAGGAGAGAAATGCGCACTAGGGAGAACAGAAGACGTTCTAGACATTGAAATATCCATCTTCTAACACCTAAGCCTGAGCATGTAGAATTTGCATTGGATAGACGTGTTGAGGAATGCTGAGTGTATGATAAAATTATACTGTTTGTTAAAAAGAACGACAGCAAAGAAAACCTAGCACCCCCCTCCCCCAAGTAGAAAACTACCTGGGGCATTTTAAAGTAGCAAGACAGTATATGTATATCATACACCAGTTAAAACAATTCTTTTTTTTTTTTTTTTTTTGAGACGGAGTTTTGCTCTTGTTACCCAGGCTGGAGTGCAATGGCGCGATCTCGGCTCACCGCAACCTCCTCCTCCTGGGTTGAGGCAATTCTCCTGCCTCAGCCTCCTGAGTAGCTGGGATTACAGGCACGCGCCACCATGCCCAGCTAATTTTTTGTATCTTTAGTAGAGACGGGGTTTCACCATGTTGACCAGGATGGTCTCGATCTGTTGACCTCGTGATCCGCCCGCCTCGGCCTCCCAAAGTGCTGGGATTACAGGCTTGAGCCACCATGCCCAGCCAACAATTCTTTAAGCATGGGATCTGTGACCCTGCCCCCGTGGCTCCCTCATGGAGAATACTTTCTAGTTTGTCTTTGATCAGTGGTAAGCAGGCACCAGGTGCCTGCCTAGTTTATTTTTGTTCCATGAGAAAACACCGAACACCTGTTTGTTAACAATAATCACTTGTTCATAGAGTAAATACGTGGGTCAAAGTGTGCTAGGGGCCCTCAGTTCAGAATGCTGTCAGTCCCCTGAGGCTCTCAGCTGGGAAGGCTGTTGGCCTCCGGGTAGTCCCACTTTGCTGTTCTGTCTGGGTGTCTGCTCCTTAATGACTCAGGGCCACCTGGGTTGTGGGGGGGTCTCAACAGTCAAGCTGAACTCGGTATAGACGAGTACCTAAAATTGAACTAATTTTGCTAGATAAGAAATTCTATAAATTGAAAACATTATTTGGGTTTACATATGCAAATCATTTAGTCACGAAAAGCATAGCCCTTAACGAGTATTTTACCAGTTTTAACAAGCAGCAACTATGATAAGCGACCAAAAGACTTTCCCCAGGGAAAAGAAAATCCCCTGGTCTGGAGAACTTCTACAGTTTCTTCCTCTGCACTTGGAGTCCTCGTGTCTCGTGAAGTTTCCCCACATTAGGACCAGTAAGTAATAAATGGGCATTTCATTGCCAAACATTCAAGTTCAAGGTATTAGACCCCAGGTTTCTTCTCCTCTTCTTATAGTCAGAAACCCATAAGCCACCTAGCCTGAATCAATGAAAATATCTGTTTCAGTAGCTATACTAGTTACTCCTTTATAAATATTATAAAATCTAACCCTCATGCTGTCTAGAAGGTAGTTTTTCCCACTTTATAAATAAGAAAACAG